CTTTCTCTGTTTTTGTTGTTGTTGTTTGTACCAGTCCTGGGCTTGAACTCAAGGCCTGGAAGCTGTCCCTGAGCTTTTTTTCTCAAGGCTAGCACTCTAGCACTTGTGTAACAAGTTAGATTGTGTAACAATTCTGAAAAATTTAGAGCCAGGTGCTGGGGGCTCACTCTTATAATCCTGGCTACTCCAGAGGCTGAGATCTGAGGGCCACAGTTTGAAGCCAGCCCAGGTAGAAAAGTCTGCAACACTTGTATCGCCAGCTACTAAGCAAAATGCTGAAAGTGGAGCTGTGGCTCAAGTGGTATAGTATTGGCATGAATGGAAAAATCGCAGGGACAGCACCCAGGCCCACATACACATGCACATACACATATACACTATCTATCTATCTAGCTAGCTAGCTAGCTAGCTAGCTATCTCTTTTACACACAAACCCACAATTTAGGTGGGAACTTTAAAATATATATATTAACTCTAGTTTGGCAGATTCCTTTTCCCCCTACAACCTCTAAAATCTCAATTTTCTCCAGCCAATACATAGTCAAAGCTTGGTTATTAGAGACACATTCCAACCATTCCCATTTAGATTCTATTTTTTATTTTTTTTGGTCGGTCGTGGGGCTTGAACTCTGGGCCTGGGCGCCGTCCCTCAGCTCTTCGGCTCAAGGCAAGCGCTCTACCACTTGAGCTACAGCGCCACTTCCGGTTTTCTGATGGTTTATTGGAGATAGGAGTCTCACAGTCTTTCCTGCCCGGGCTGGCTTTGAACCGTGATCCTCAGATCTCAGCCTCCTGAGTAGCTAGGATTACAGGTGTGAGCCACCAGCGCCCGGCTTCCCATTTAGATTCTACACCACAGTAACAGAAGTATTCTCATCTGCCTGGACATCCTCATGCTGCTGTATTCCAGTTTCCCACTGTGAACATGGGAAGGTAGAATGTCACAATGAGAAGTGGCTAGGAGAGTCAGTGCTAAGGGGAGACTTAGGAAGACTTAGGAGCCTTACACTCTGGCAGCCTCTCCCAAAGTCATCTGGAATCTGTATGAAATCTATGTTTTCTCTCATATGTAGAACTTAGAGCTACACACTATAAACATATATAAAAAACATAGTTATCTCTCTATCTACATAATATGTCTAGGTAGCTAGGTAAACAGAATGGACAGATAGGCAGATAGATAGATAGATAGATAGATAGATAGATAGATAGATAGATAGATAGATAGATAGATAGATAGATAGATACTAACTAAAGTATGGTATATGGCCAGCAGGATTCCAAAGACATAACCCATCCTTGAACAACTTAAATAGTTTAACAAAATAAATATCAGGAAGCTGAAGCATGTGTTTTCAGGAGATATCAAAAGGGAGGAAGAGTAGGCAAATGGAGAAAGGAAGGGTGGACGAATGCAGCCATAACATTCATCCCATATATGTGAACACGGAACCAGGTAACTAGAGGGGAGAAGCGAGGAAGGGATGGCACTGATCAAGATATACTGCCCTTACAAACTGACATGGTGAGTTAAAAAGAGGGAACAGCTGATACTAAGCAAAAGGGAAGAAATGTGCATATCACCCGATTGGTCAAAAAATAGTTTTATTGTTAAAGGTCATAGAGTTCATAAGCAATGTCAATTAAGATAATGAGGACTATCATTGTGAAGATTAAAAGGTGTTTAGGACGTTAACTAAGTATAACTATGCCACACTATTGTGAAATGTATGTAGTTCTGTAATCTCAATAAAGAAATATTTGGGGAAGAAGCTCTTTGTGCAACCACTCAAGGGAATTTTTGTACATTAAAAATCATTGTAGAATCTAAGTCAAACCAGTATTTATTTTTTGCAAATGTGGCTTCAAACTCCTTAGCACTCTCCCCAACCCCTCCACTCCCCTAAGGTCTCAGAGAGCAGCTCTCTAACTCCTGCCTACAGACATTCTGTGGCCCTGGTGTGGGTAAAACATCAGCCCCCAGCGCTTCCTCCCACATGTGCAGTGGTATAACAGTGAAAGGCAAGGCTGGGTGTTTCAGAGCCCCAGGACTTGGAGGGAGGGTAGGTGGGTGAAAAAAGATTGTCCTTGCCCTCCACTACACCAGGGCGTTAGAAAGAGTTCAAATTCTCTAGCTGTGCAATGGCAGGTACTATGCAAAAGGGGAATGCACTCACCCAGACAAAAAGTTCTGGGCTTTCCAGCAGGCCAGGTTATGCTATTTCCATAACATTGCAGGGAACTGCTTAGATTAGATCCACTCCTTCTCACAGAGCTTTGCTTGAAATAATGCTATCAGAGCCAGCCATCTGTATCCTGCCTTCACAAGGCCGTGGTGGACAAAGTTCTTGGAGGGAGAGCACTGGAAAATCCCACAAAGAAACAGCTGAAGGTACTGGATGATGCAAAAAAGGAAACTCTTGACTTTTCTCTGGCTCCCACAGGGCTCACCTCTGCCTCTCGCTAGCTCAGGAGATCCTGAAAGGGAAGCTGCCATCTTCTACTGTTTCCTACAAGAAGGGTATTAAATGCTCCACTAATGAGGCTGTTCCTGATAAATAAGTGTGAAGAGGAAGAGACACAATTGAGCCAATTTAGAGGCATGAAGAAAGCAGGCACAAGGAAAACAGTCAACTGTGTGAGCTAGACCTATGCAGGAAAGCACATAGAGAAAGATTGAATTCCTCGTGTCCTCTGGAGGTGGAGAAATGTGACACTTAAACATTTGATAAGAGTGAATGAGGAAGAATCCTATGCCACAGTATAAATAGCATCAGAACAAAGGGACCAGCTTCAGCTAGAATTATTTTTAACCAACAACATACTTATGTGTTACCCATATAACTAAACATTCTTTTACAGTAGAAGGGGGAGATGGAGGAGATAGAATCCAGTCAGTCCAACCATCTGAATGAGCCCCAGTATGATACACTAAAAAATACATAGCCATTTATTAGCATAATGACTCTCTACAATGTAGTCTGGATGTAAAGCAGGTTAAAAAAGATGGTGGGTCAGTACCTGTGCACTTGTGGGTACTGCTCTCATACCTGTATAGTACTGATTTTTCAAAGGATATTAACTGATAAAGCACTTCAGCCCTCCAAGATAATCATCTATACTAAATTATCAGTTCAGAAAGAAAACAATCCCCATTCTACCATTCTAAGGGAATGAGGAAGGAAGGAAGGAAGAAAGGATGGAAGGAAGGAAGAAAGGATGGAAGGAAGGAAGGAAGGTTGGTTCAGGACACCTGACTGCTGCCCACTGCTGCCCTTCCTGTATCAGGCTCTCAAGAAAACCAACGGCTCCTTAATGCCCATCTAATGAGAAAAAGACTGGAGAATTGAGTTTAGTTTTGTATGAGATAGCTTTGTTCTGGTTATTTTTTCCAAATATGCTTTTGTAATCTTTGAGGGTTTGTTTTTAATACAGCCAAAAGTAAAATTGTTTTTAGAGGAAAACTGAATAAACAGACTTAGAAATAGGAAAGGATGGATGAGGATGTCCACAATGGAAAACACATTTGAAGAGCATGAAGAAAGGCTCAGGGACAGCACCCAGACCCTGAGTTCAAGTCCCAGAACCACCAAAAAAAAAACAACAAAAAAACAATGATCATGACACTGATGAACATACGTTGTACTCTCAAACGGACATGTTGAAATTCCCTAGCACAACTACATAAGGATAATAGTTTTATTAAAAAAAACAATTATCAAATAGCAACGTTGAAGAACTGGATTTTAAATTATATTTTATTTTAATTAAAGTTAAATGCCTATATAGCTGATTGGACAGCACAGGTCTAAAATTTAAAAAAAAAATCGATTCATTTCACAGACATGTTTTCAAGCTTCAAATGTCTCGTTTGTGTTTAATAGGTTTTGCATATAGGAAGTAAGTAAGATTTCATACCAGATCCAACTCTTGCTGCTTCTGCCCTATCTCTCCCATTTCACATTTACAATTTTCTATTTAATGTCTCTCTACTAGGCCAGAAGTTTCACCAGGACAGTGCCAAGTCTGCTGCACCCTCTGCTCTGTCCCGGCCCCTGTGGGGCCCACACACTGCGCAACCTCAATTGACATACAGCAGAGGAGCAAGTCAGAAAGGAAGCTTCTGTCCTGAAAGGATGATGTATAGAACGATGTGCCCAAATACTTGGGTCTTACTATAAACAACTATAAGTCTTATACATCAACAATGCTCCAAATGGCTTGTGTAATTTTTCCGAACTTTAATTTCCTTTAGTAAATTATAATCCTCATGACAGAATTACATATTCAATTTTATCCAAAACAATATTCTTTCTCTTTTTTTATTCTCTGTGCTGGGGGTGGGGGGGTTAGAGCTTGAACTCAGTGCTTAGGTGCTGTCCTTTAGCTGGTGACCTAGCACTTGAGCTACAACTCCATGGATTTCTGTCCTTTCTGCTGGTAAAAGCAGAGTCTCATAGATTTGTTTGCCTAAGCTGGCTTCAAACCTTGATGCTTAGATCTCAGTCTCCTGAGTAGCTAGGATTACAGGCATGAGCCACCAGCACTCAGCTTTTTTGTTTGGCAATAGTTCTGTCAGGTTATCCCTATAGCAGACAACTACTATGGAATAGGTAAACTACTACAAAATCACAATAGCTTTTATACTCCACAGCTGTGGATAATCTGTGGCCTATTTCTCCTTGAAGTACTCAAGGTTACAAGACCACTCATTACTCAGCCTGCAAACCTCTCATTGGATCAATAGGATTTCTAAATACCCTTGCCTGTTTTAGAGCTGCTGCTTCTTGCAAGATGACACATATAAACAGTACCGAAATAAATGACAGCTTTAACAGTCTGTACAAAGAATCCAGCGGTATGTAGCAATAAAGTACTGCTTTAAAAAGGTAGCTTCTGTATTGTGTGGCTAGATTCCCTAGTAAGGAGGTACTCAAAGAGTGAAGATCCTCATAAATAATAGCAACAGGCAAGGGGAAAGCCATGGCACACATCCATACCTCAGCTTCCTGCAGGGTCCCGTGGTTTAGGCACACCATGTCGGGGCAAGTGATAGGAGACCCACATCCTTCTCGGATTGCCAGCTGCATATACTGTTTCAGGCACTATAGGGGAAGAAGAAAAGAGGCAAACAATTATCCACCACATTACAGTGGAAAAAGGTTACATAAGAAACCACCCCTGCCTCTTCCCTTAATTGGCTATCCCGGCATTCTTGCACTCAAGAGACATAAGTTACCACAAGTGTGAAGACTAAGAGCCATCATTTTGGAAAGAATACAGAGACAGGCAATTAATTATGCATGACTTCATCCGAAGAGTTTATTCAAGTCAAATTCCCCTATGCTCACACAATCCATCCATCATAGATTGGGAAACAAACTCTTTTGTACTCATAGCAAAGACTTCTCTTTATTATTGTTGTTGTTATTATTATTACTATTTGAAATGTATGTGACTTTATAATTCTATTCTTATCTTTGGGTCCATTCCTTAAAAGTTTATCCAAACATAGGATCCGGGCACTGAGCTACCCAAACAGAACTGAAATAAGACTAATAAGGCAGTGACTTATCCAGGAGCATGTTTAAAAGCAAAAGATAATGTCACGTTTGGGAAAGTCAAATGACTGCCTGTTTATGGGAGACAGCAAAGAGAATTTGGAAGAATGAGACCCTTTTGAGAAATGAGGCTCAGCGGCTGCCATGCTGAGTAGAAAAAAGGCACTGATCAACTGGAGAAAAAGAAATTGAAAGGCCGAAGATAGAACATGAAACAAGTGGGAAAGATGGGGGACAGGAAGCACAAATAGGTCTAGTCATCACTTGTTGTGCCTGGACCTTGGGCAGTGAGTGGAGACAAGAATCTGAAATTGTAAGAGAGAAACTGATGGTGCATTGGATTCTCTCTCCCTTCCAGTCTAGCTTAATAGGCCCACAGGAAATCAAAGGCAGTGCAGCAGGCTCCTTGTACTCGTAGTCTCCACCCCTCCATAGTCAACCAAACTCAGGTTGCAAATATTCAGACAAAAAAAAAAGATGCTATGGTCAGAATATTTATGGTGCAATTGTGAAATCTAGGCCTTTCACTGACTTTTTCAAATTCGTTTTCCCCACTGGTAAAGAAAACTAACATCACTATTGGGTTTCTGGGAAAGACGTGCATTCATCTGCTGGAAGTGACTTGTTACATGTGCTGGAGAACCGATGACCGAAGCCAGCCACTTAATCTACATCTGTTACCTCTTCCTTCTTCAAAACTAGAAAACAACCTAAACGGAGAAGACTGAAATAATGTATTGTTAAAATTCACACAATAAGATGCTTCAGGATCATGAAAACGTATGTTCAAGTGGTATTTCAAAGCATGGGGAAATGCTCACGATTTGGGATAACTTGGTGGATAAAAAGTATTTGGGAACAGTGGTCCTCTTAGCCACTCTCCCCCTTACTGAAGATGACAGGTTTTCACATTGACTCTCCTGTTCAAGAGAAAGAGGGCTGGAGGTGTGGTTCAGCGGTAGAGCCCCTGCTTAGTTAGCAAGCAACAGACCCTGAGTTCAACCCCAGTATTGATTCTCACTGCCCCCCACCCCGCCCCCGGAAAAAAAAGAAAGCGAAAGATAAGAGATGACTTGTTGTGAGATTTACTGTGCCCAACACCATCTCCAGGACCAGCAGCAAACAAGGCAAAAGCAAGGTGGAAAAGAACACCATAGACAGGCAAACCCACCCACAAAGTGATTTCATACCAAGGGACAAATAACAATGTGAAGGCCTCTCTACCATTCTGCTTCTGGAGACTCTCAGCCTCCCCTCGGCCAGGCCAATGTCAATGTTACTGCCTACATTCCTCCCCAGCTGCCACCGACAAACTCTAAAGCTGGTCTCCAGTCTCAAGGGGAAAGTGTCTGAGGAAAACAAAGTGAATGGCACAACAAACTTCAGGTTCTAGAAGTTGGGGGTCTAGAGTCAAGCTCTATTCTGTCTGATGACGATAGAGGAATGACTTTAGTTTTCAAATAGGGACATAATGCCTTACAGGACCAACAACATGGACACACAAAAACTTTATCTACTAATTGCAGAATGTCAGGTTATATTTTTACTCTCTTCAGTTGGACTTCGATTTTCTATTAGGAAACATGTGAGGAAACTGTTGATCCACTGTCCACTCCCTGCAGAGGACCAGTGATAAGCCACTTAGGGTAGACAGCAGATACATGACAGAACAGATAGATGTACAGCAGAGAAGCCACTCGTCTCTAGGACAGCTGCTCCTCAGAATTATTTGGCTCTATAGAGAAAGCGTAATGTCAAATAGAGACTAGACATACTATGTGAGTCTTCTTAGACTAAAAAAAAGAAGAAAAACACTTAAACTTATCCTGAACATTTGTAAAGACAAAACATTAAGCTTCCCAAAGAGCTCACAACGAACACTAATTTGCCAACACGATGGTCTTCGGTACACTGTTGACAGTGGTATATCTTCCTAATGAATTCTAAAGTTTCCCACAAGCACTGTCTTGTCTGCAAATAATAATGTTATGTGATCTAAGATTTTCAGGCAAGAAGTTAGAGTGCTACACATTGACTACAAGGTTTAAGTACATATACACTCTGTTTTTATTCTAGGAAACATTCACTCAGAAAAGAAGTTTCTAAGTGCACACTGTTCAGTAATCTCAGAGTACAGGCACTTGACATGCCAACCATGTGGGCATGAATTTCCACTCAAAAGCAAAGAGGGAAAACGGTCCTAGTGATGGCTTCATACTGAATTTTCAAGTGCCAGCAGCTCATTATTTTCTTTCCACTGTCTTTCACGAAAAAAAATTTACTCTCAACGTCTTCCTCATGCAAAGATTTCAATGCTTCTTGTGAATATTGCACACAAGAACCAAAAATATTCACATGAATCCTATGCATATTTTACAAACCAAGTATAGGTACATGCTTAATAATTCTAGATGGAAAATCCAACATTTGGCTCATAAACACACAAAAAAGAAAACTACCAGTCATTTAATAAGTGTATTAAACAGCAACATTACATTGATATCCAAAAATGTACAATTTTCTTCACAGCTAACACATTCTAAGGGAAATGTTTCAAATGGAACATTTCAAAAGCCCATGTAACATAAACAAAGAAAGAAAACATTTTTTTCTTTTGAATAGTCAACATTTTACTTAAATGGCTTGGTAGACTATACAAGGTTTTTTTTCTTTTTTTCTTTTGATCAAGCTTGGTTTTGAACTCGGGGCCTCAGTGCTGTCCCGGAGCTCTTTATTTGCTCAAGCTAGCACTCTACCACCTTGAGCCACAGTGCCACTTCCAGTTTTCTGGTAGCTAATTGGAGATAAGAGTGCACTTTCCTGTCCCACTTTCCTGTCCCAGCTGGCTTCGATCAGATCTCAGATTCCTGAGTAGGATTACAGGCATGAGCCACCAGCACCCAACTATTATACATAAGATCATATACCAAGAACTACTTTTCTAACTCACTCCACAGCTCTCAAGAATTCCAAGGGGATCTAAGGATTTTTTTTTTTTTGGTCAGTTGTGGGGCCTTAACTCTGGGCCTGGGCACTGTCCTTCAGCTCTTCAGCTCAAGGCTAGCTAGTGCTCTACCACTTGAGCCACAGCACCACTTCTGGCTTTTTCTGCTTATGTGGTGCTGAAGAATCAAACCCAGGGCCTCATGCATGCAAGTCAAGTACTCTACCACTGAGCTACCTTCCCAGCCCAAAACAAATCTTAAAACAAATACTGAATGCAATTGGGTGATAACAGCCAACTTGTTGGGCAAGTCATTGTTTATCAAAATGGAACAATACCACCTGGTTTTGCCAGGGAAACAGAGAGTCTCCCTTTAGAGTAAACAGATGAAGATCAGGGCTGGGAAGGTGGCCCAGTGGTAGAGAGCTTGCCTTGCATGCATGAGGCCCTGGGTTCGATTCCTCAGCATCCCATAAGCAGAAAAAGCCAGAAGTGGCGCTCTGGCTCAAGTGGTAGAGTGCCTAGCCTTGAGCTGAAGAGCTGAGGGACAGTGCCCAGGCCCAGAGTTTTGGCCCCATGACCAACAAAAATAAATAAACAAATAAAGATCACTTTTCCAAAGTGAAAATGGCCGGCAGATATATTGTGTAATTGGCACATTATATGAATGTTTCTGAATGATAGGTATGCAGGCAGAAATGAAAGTCCCCAAACAGATATGATCCCTCAATCTCATGAGGGTAGGGAGGTAAGAAGAAGATAACTAGTATTGTTGGGAGGAAGAAGGTACCGTACAGTCAGAGGCTTAAATCATCTGTTTCTTGGCCCCTATTTGTGTGTGTGCGTGTGCACGTGTGTTCATATGTGTATGTGCATGTGTACACACTGGTCCTGGGGCTTGGACTCTGGGCCTGGGATGCTGTCCCTGAGCTTTTGTGCATAAGGCCAGTGCTCTACTACTTTGAGCCACAGCTCCACTTCCACATTTATAGTAGTTAATTGGAGGTAAGAGTATTATGGACTTTCCTGTCTGAGATGGCTTTGAACTGTGATTCTCACATCTCAACCTCCTGAGTAGCTAGAATTACAGGCATGAGTCACTGGCACCCAGCTCTTTGCCAACTTTAAAATGTGCTATTTGCATTTTTATTTTATTGAGTTGTAAGTAATCTTTACATAGTCTTGACATGCATCCTTTAAGAGATGATTTGTAAATATTTTCTCCCACCCTGGGTTATATTTTAACTTTCTTGATGACATTCATAGAAGAAAATAAAGTTTTTAAATTTTGATCAAGTCTCCTTTTTTTCTTTTGTGGCTTATGCTTTGAGTGATATATCTAAGAATACATTGCCTAGTTCAAGGCAATTAAAGTTTTTCTATTGTCTTCTTTTCTTTCTTCTAACGGTATTATAGTTTAAAGCTTTTAATATTTAGGCCCACGATTGGTTTTCAGTTAATGTTTCCTTTGCAAAGGGAAATCTAGTTTTCCTAGTACAATTTGCTGAAAAACTCTCCTTTCTCCCTGGAATTATTTTGGTACTGTTGAAAAACAACTGACAATAAATATGAGGATTTACTACTATACTCCAAACTCTAT